CTCATCCGGACCATTACTGCACCAACAAAACATACGCCTGCAAAGGCGATGGCCTAAACGACCGTGAGGATGCAGAAAGAAAACACGACCCTCCCTCTTCCTTTTTTGTCCTCCCCCTCACCGACACTTTCGGTCCTTCTCACGTTCAGCGCTGGCAAACAAACACAAACCTCATTAATCCTCCCACGCTCACGCAGCTTCGCCTCTCATCACAACAATGACATTAGGTGGCGCTTTGATATCTCTCATTCTTTCTATAAAACAAAAAGAACAATAAGAGTTAACATCATGCTGATACTCATTAATTTAAACTTTCCAGTTGATGAGAGGACTACATCCAGGAATCTCTTCAGCTGTTGCCATGATCTTCAGCTCTCTTTGTGGCACAGCTGCAGAGGATCAGCACCTTCRAATCTGAGACCATGATCCTCAATCTGAACAGGGTGGACTGCTCTCTCCAGGTTGGAAGTGATGTTCTGCATCAAATGACAAAGCCTCGACGGACTGATCGCTGCAGCTTCATCAGTATTGTGTAATCTGCTCTGGTCTGTTGTGGTGAAGAGGGAGCTGASCAGCAAGGTGAAGATCTACTCATTGTTTTTAAATCGCTTCTTAAGACACATCTTTTCTTTTTGGCTTTTGTCAAAATTGGGGATGTTTGATGTGTAACTTTGTTTTATTGTGTTTTTATCTGTTTTATTTGATTACTACTTTTTATTTTTCTATTTTATGATTGTATTGTATTTTATGACTGTGTGCAGCACTTTGGTCCTGTCGGTTTTTAAATCGCTTCTTAAGACCCATCTTTTTTCTTTGGCTTTTTTCACAATCGGGGATGTTTGATGTGTAACTTTGTTTTATTGTGTTTTTATCTGTTTTATTTGATTACTACTTTTTATTTTTCTATTTTATGATTGTATTGTTTTTTATGACAGTGTGCAGCACTTTGGTCCTGTCGCTGTTTAAAGTGCTTTACAAATAAAGTTGGTATGGTAAGATCTCTGTTTACTAGCTGGTCCACGCTCCTACCCTCATCAAACATTTGGAAGTGACAGAAAGAACAAAATCCCAGATACAGGYCATCAAAATGAGTTTTCTCCACAGGGTGGCTGGAGGGTGAGACGTTCAGCTATCCAGGAGAGACTCCGGAGTACAGCTGCTGCTTCCACAAAACGAGATGAGAAGCAAACCTCAGCTGTTCAGGAGAACATCTGGACTATTTCCACTGCTGCTTTAGATGTTCTCTGCATGAGTTTTTTTCTGAAAGAGAAATTCCAAAAATTTGGAGAAGCCCATGTGTTTACAGTGCATAAAAGAACATGATGCAAACAACACACTATAGAAATTGTTGGGGTTTCTCATCCCCACAATGTAAATAAAAGCCGCTCTGTTCTGTGGTAATATTWTTGCCACATGTATCTGAACGTATCCACAACACCAGAAGTAATTGGAAGACAACAATGACAACAAACCACATGCTCACTTGCAGTAAAATACTCCGGGTGATTTGGTGCTGTGTTTGCACGTCGTCCCACTGATGTTCCAGATAATTGACTCAGGGGCTGGAGGGAAAATGTCCACAAGAAATCCTGAGCAACATTTGTGTTTTCACGCGGCCCCTTGGTGAAACAYGAGTGTGAACATTTCAACTGCAGTGGGAGTGAGAAGTTTTATTGTGTTAGTGTAAAACTATAGTGAACAGTTTAGTTTTTAACTGCTAGATATTTGTTCTAAACTAAATTTATTGAAGGTTTCTAAAAAAGCTGTTTAGTATTTGATCTTTTATTTTTCAAATATTTCAACTGMAGATTACTTTAAGACCAAATGAGTAACTGTTATTGACTCAGATTTAAAGCTTTCAATCAGCATGAACAAAAAAGTAGAAGCAAAATTGTAATATAAAACTCAATGTTTACAGTCAGAAAATGTTTTAAATGACCTTYTATTGTGAAGAATCCTTTAAATTTTCTTTAAAAAAAATACAGAATTAACAAGTTTGCTGACTGAACACCCCCCAGTTACAGTTTTCCTCAGATTTTGAATTTCTATCTCTGTTTGTCTGCCATGTTTCCTTGATTACAAAGACCATCGTCCCACAAATGTAGAATTATAGATTTTGTGTTTCACCCACATTTAGCTCCCCTCAGTAGGAGCTCTCAGTCATCTAAGTGYACTTTGGCTCAGGTTGGGTCTGTGTATACCCAAAAAAGATCTAGCATATKATTACAGCAGAAGGAACACGGGACMGTGGCTGACCAGTAGTTTGGTTTTGCTAAATGTTGCCGGTTAGTCATTTCATTTTTTTGACTGTCTGGACTGTTGAGATTCAGGAATCTCTAAATTGTGCAAACCTGYTTGAATTTTTGTCATCAAAAAGGTTTAACAAATATAAAACATAAAAATTTGAATCAGCGCACAAGTTAAATCAAGAAAAAACAAAGATATTTAAAAGCAGCAAAGCAAATGTGTAAAAACCTCAACCTCTGAGTTCAAACRAGGATTATGGTGTTTATTTTACTGTGTAGGTTCACTTGACAAAACAGAAAATAGCTGTGAGCAGCAAACCTGCCGTCTCCAGAATATGCAGCCTCAATTAAGCTCTGTTTTCTACAGGTGTGTGTGAGAGAGAGAGAGAGTGCAGTGTGTGGGATACTTTCACCACACAGGATCCAGCTAATYGCTGCTGCCAAGTGACTTCAAACACAGCTTGTTTATTCAAGCCATAGCAATAACATTCACCTGGTGAAAAGTGACATTTCTGTAGTGGAAATTAAGAAGAATCTGACCCCGGGTATAAAAGGTGTCTTTCTACGGCGTTCAGCCTCACATACCACAGCAGAGGGGAGGGAAGGAGCAGAGAGGAAGACGAGGAGGAGAATGAGGAGGAGCGATAGTGAGGAAATAATGGCAAGGTGGACAGGCTAATTGAGTCAGAATTAGAGAAGGTGGACCAAAAGAGAAGATGGASAGTTCAAAAAGAAGCAGGAGAAAGTTGTGATGGGGAGGAAAAGACATAATTCTAGTTATTCAAAATTTCTACTAAAACTTTAAAAAMCCCAAACAGCTGTGTGGATTTGAAWCCACTTYATAATAAAAAGTAAATAAGCACTTGTGGAAACATGGTTACTTCCACCTGGTAAAAACCTTATTTTGGAAAGTTAGATAAATAACCTTTATGTGTAAACATATAGCTTCTTTAATAAAAACAGTCAAACTTACCAAGTTTTACTCTTTTCTAAATATGCTGGTGTTGACTTGGCTGAAAGCTCGTGATTCATAAAAGAGTTCATTGTCGCTGCGCCCTCTGCTGGAAGCTGATGGTACAACAAGAGCAGAACTCATTTCGCTTAGACAAAACAATTACTTCATTCATTACTGATAGCTTATTTGAAACCATTCTTTGAGAATTACAGTAACCAAGGTAGGCCCATTTATAAGTCAACTTATCAGAAATATACTGTGAAGCAGTTTTAGTTTACCGGAAGTAAATCTCTGAGAACAGATTAATTATGAGGGGAAAAATATAAAAGAAAAATGAGAGATGAGTGAAAGTGGATCACTAAACTGTGGTTAAAAAAAGATTAAGCTTCGTATTTTCACATTGTGTGGTAGAGGAGGTAGAACCATCACCGAGGAGTGACTTTTTTCTATAGAGAATGCTAAAATCTAAGTTGTGCTGCATCCTTATTGGACAAGGTGAGTAAAATAGGTGGAGCAGTTCCCCATATAAGAGCACCAACCTATGCAGGAGGTAAACGGAGGCGGGGCAAAGTCAGCAGACCATTGATGTTGGAACTTTGTCAGGACAAAAGGTCAGTGCTCCCTCTACAGGTTCAAAGACGAGAGTGCAGTGGCAGTGGTCAGCTGRGGCCCTGGGGTCCTGCTGGACTGAGGAGAACGTCCGTTCTCCAGGAAACAGACCTAAAATGAGCGCACTCGTCAGATTTTTGTTGTGTTTTACCATAAAATAGTCATTTTCATCTGTACATTCTAACATGTTCACTAATAAAACTGTTTTGCAGAGTTTTGAACTTGGGTTTTCTTTTACTAATAAATGAAAAACACRTCACATACAGTATTAAAACTTTTACTCAGACATGATACAACAAACAGAAACAGGATTCAGAATTAATGACTGAAAAAAAATCTTTTTTTTCTTCTTACAATCCTCAAAGCACACAATAATCAATCAGCTCCACGTGTAAAATGGAGTAGAATACAAACAGGACAAAGAACAGACACAAGGGAGAGAGACAAATTAAACAGAAAAGTGACAGATTCCATTCTGATTTTTCAGCTCTTGCATTTGTTTAATACTTTGTAACAAAGAAAAAGTGAATAGCATAGTTGGGGGACAAGGGAGACATGAAACAAGACGAAGAAATGACATGTGAAACTTTTTAAGGTGAAGCGTAAATGATTAAAGAAGAGCCAAGATCTACTGGAAACAGTTTWACTGTTTTCCTTAGGATCAACAACTGAACATCGGTTCCAGGATATTTAAGCACCCGCCTTCTTTTTTTTACCCAACGTTTTAAATATCAAACCTTAAGCAACATCAACAACCTCTTTTAAGAGAGCAGTGATATTCAATTAGTCCTCCATGTTGACGTCTTTTACTGCAGTCAGATTTTGGTCAAAAGTTTCTTTTAACAACCAGAACTTAGAACCACAGTTTCTCTGAAGAGTTTCCACTTTCATAGTTTCCAACTCGAGTCATTTTAGGACCATCACAGTTAAAAACCTAACAAAAATTAGTAGGTCCGGGGTTATTTTTGCCCCGCCTAATAAATTCTTATTTGTATTTCACTCATGTTGTAGGGCCCAATAAAAAGCACCAAAGCACAACCTGAGCACCCAGAGAGGTTCAAACACTGGTCGAATTCTCTTTCCAGTGACCAGGCCTGCCCTCTCCAGTCAAGCTGTTATTTCCATTCCTATAAGGGCCCCTGTTTAGAACAAATTACACAGGCCTATAGTTGCACACTGTCTTTACTGTGTTGCAAAAAAAAAAATAAAAATCACAATATACTGTACATAACAGACAAGGACTGAGTGGCCTTACATTTAAGATGGCTGCAAACAGCTTGGCAGTGATTAAAAACTGTGAGGGTGGTGCTTTCAAGGCTGCATAGCACACACTGAACCTCTTTGATTAAAACAGCCTCGGCTCATAGGTACATGTAACAACGCCACCCTCACCTCTAATCTACACATGATGATCAAGTCTTCAAAGCTTGCAATCCATTTTGAAAAAGCCTTTTTTTCTTAAATCAATGTCTTTACTCTTAAAACACAAAATAAAATTCATAATGTAACAAAGATGGCGACAACAATACTGCTACACAGTCAAAGGTCACAGCACGTGTCTGCCTTGAGTGCACACTTGCAATGACAAACATTTGTGGGCGGTGCGGTGCGATTCAGCGGCCTCCCGTGGCCATTGAGGATCGTCGCAGCTCTGCCGTCAAGTAAAGTAAGCAAAGAGGGACAAACRGCTCCGATTCCCCTTCTCTGTAGCTTTTCATCAAGCTCGCCCCCACGAGAAAGCTTCATATCCTCATACAGTCCGAGAATCTCGCGTTTAATTTCCGATTCGAATCCAATGCGAAGTAATGTCGMGCCCAGGTGGGTGTAAGCCGTTAGGTTTTAGGTTGAGCAGTTGAGATGGARCAAACCAATGGAAGGAAGGAGGCCGAGGTTGTGCCGATGAAGCTTTAATTCAAAATACCAGCTTATTGCCTCCTTTTCTTGCACCCTTCTAATATTTCACTCAACCTGTTCAACAACACTCMGCAAGTCACAGCCAAAGTTAGTTTCTGCCAGATAAAAGTGTAGCTGCAGATTCGGTGAACATAAAAACATGGCCACACTAAATGTGTTTTTTAAACTAAAATAGCCAACCACCAGCTTTTGCTAAAAGGTCTGCCTGCTTAGCTTAGGATCCTGCACTGAGACTATAGCTTGTTTTCACTGTAAGTTTGTCATTATTCAACGCTAAGCTTGTCGCAAAAATCATAAAAAATACAGTCATGCTATAGCAAAAACTTAAATATGTCTTAGTTATATGAGGGGATGGGAAGTTTAATTTTTATTACTGCCAATTTTCATGCAACAGATAAGGAGCAACTTTACTATTGCCAGAAACATGTTTTAAATATGGCAAAACAAACAAACAAAAAAAAAAAAACCATGCTACCAGAAAAGAATATGTAACTAMGCATTTTTAGGCATTTTTAGGTAGCATTTTAAGAGACTGGCCTCTGCTCAGTCAGCTCTTTACATGACTCGTATTTAATATTAACTAGTTTCACCTTTAGCTCATAAAAGGACTATATTCATTCCCATCCCCGGTTATAAACATGGTGCAGTAGGAGAAGGCTCAAACATTCAACAGAGGAAGCACTAAAATATAAACAAAAATGTCCTGCAACGAAAGTTTCACCCAACCAGAGATTATTCATGCAATCACATATCCTAAAGTCAGCAAAACCGTAAAAGGTACAAAAAAAGGCAATAAGCTAATTTTGGGTTGCACTCTCGTTTCTCCTCAACCTGACCATTTTCATTTTCAAATAGCAGAAGTCTAATCTATCTCACAGATCTAAAAGCCCAGCAGCTAAGGAATAATTCTCACTCAAGTCTCAAAAACTGTATTAGCTCATCAGAACCAACTCCCGTCATTAAAGCATTGAGACTATACAGTAAAACTGCTGGCAGATGTTGGTGCATCACCTTTGCTTTTTTCTTTGCCAACAGTCAGCAATGTTGCATAAGAAGCTGACTAAAGCAAAGCAAAAAAAMAAAMAAAAAAAAAAAACGTCAAACWCTAAGATGAAACTTTTTTTTGTTTTACATGTTTAAAAGAAATCACCTGTTGTACAGGTCAACTACCAGCCTCTGTGTCTACATCGTGTGAAGGAGGTCACAGATTCTSGCTGAGAAAGTTTCGGACGACGTGCTGTGCAGGATGTTTGTTGCTCCTTTTGGTTAAAGGAGACGGAGAACCCAACAGCCTCCCACAATGTTTTCACCAACTATGAATCTTTTTAAAATATCAAAAAAAAAAGAAAGAAAAAAGACTGGCTCTGTCTGAAAAGGCACAGAGACTTATCAGCCACAGCCAGAATCTACCAGAGTCCACCTGAATCTATGGTGGTAATAATTTCCTACGATTAGAGATCTTTACTAAAGGTGGGGAGTCATAAAATAATAAACTCAAAGTCTAAACATGTGTGAAGAATGGCTGATTTGTCTGTGTAATTGCATACTCTGTTTGCATTGATGTAAATGTGCAAGTCTTTAACTAAAACACATATTTAGCACCTGGAAGAAGACTGCTGTGCCTCTTCGCTGTAGAATCATACTGCAAAATTTGTTTCTAATTCATGTTAAATGTGGTGACTAATGACGTGGATAAACATACTTTAGAATACCAACATTCTTAAATAAAATCACTGCCAAAAATGGAAGTAAATCTCTGTGCCCCAGTATTGCTCTCATTTTAAGGTGTGTAGAGGTTTAATCCAAGGTTTGTGTCGTCTTCGGATTATGTGGGAGCCACATTTGACTTTTCACTGCAATACTCGTACTCAGTTCCACGCAAATTCCCATCACAGTAAATGTCAAGTGCCTATGGCAACAAAGCCCAGCCAATCAGTTACCAGGAACATTGGACAACACTGGCAGAAGCTGGTGCAAAAGCAGCAATGAGATGTAGTTTGGCCCTGGGCTCAACAACAGTTTCACAGTGAGTGCAAGAAGATGAATCCACTGATAACTGAACAGCAAAAAATAGAACTATATATTGTGTTTGCTAGAGCCACACAGTYCAACTCACTGACGTTCAGGCAGGCCTTTTGTCTCTGCGTGACTCCTCAGATTCTTTTTGGTGTTATTTACATCTATGGTACAAAAATCTCAAGCACTGAGCCAACACACAGTCCAAGTTTCCAAATCTGCAGGTTGTAGGTGTAGGATTTCCATTATTCTGTCTAGCATAAATGGATCTCTAGATAGCATTAACAGCAATGCAATGCACAAAAGGTCCTTTGTATTTAAACATACTGCCACCCAATAAACACCTACAATCAGTGATCTGTGATCAATGCACAACAGAATTACTGTAAACATGCCAAATTTGATGTTAAAAGTTAAATTAAAATCTTAGCTTACATTTATATTTCTCCCCTCCGCTGCTGTTTGTGTGCCAAGCAGAAACGATCAGCTTTTAGCACCTTATTTTAAAGAGAGGACAGAGAAGATCGGATCAATGCCTCTTAAACAACTCAAGCACACAGTTCAAGGACACTTCAATAACTGCTGGTAGAAAAGTCAAATGTCAGATAAATTTATTTACTCAACAGGCTCACTGACCAGAAGGTCACACACTCAGATACAATCTGTCCAATTATACGCATGATTATAGAGAGAACACAGAAAATTATTTCCTCTTTGATGGCCAGTTGATAAAAAGCTGTGCTGGATGTTAAACTGTTGCCAGCCACAATGTTTAACCACAGGACTGGTAGTTAGGAATAATACCTGCTATGGTTGACATCTGCACAGAAACCCACTGATTGTTTACTAAGTTAAACAACAAGTCATAGGACTTAAAAATGATGCAATAATAAGACAACCCTACACTTAGTACCTTCAAGTTCAACTTAGGTGTCTGAGAAAAGATGGTCATTTTTAAAAGCAGGAACATTTACACAGTTACAACTCACAAAAGTGCATTAATGACCACCAGGAAAAGAAGGATTTGGGGAAACAAAAGATAAAAATAAAAACAAATACTTTTTCCTCACATGAAGCTTTACTTCCTGTAAGCTTCAAGCGGTTTAAAATGCCAAAACATCTGCCGAAGTAGAGATAAAATCTAAATCTTAAAAAAAAAAAATTCAAGTCATTCTTCTTGTCTTACAAAGCCCGCTGTGCGCATCAGGGTGGGAGGGCCTCAGTTTGTTTAACAAAGCACTCCCAGCCCCCTTTTTCCTGGATTTCAATGCCTTAGAAAAAGCTCTCATTTCATGAGTACAGTACTTCAAAATAGAAACTCAAATAAGTTTCAGCATGAACAAAAATAAACAAAAATATATATGTTTTCCAGATTGAACAAATTCACTGGGATGGTGTGTTTACATGTCCTTAAAAGATTGTTTTGATGGTGGACAGGTAACTCAAATGCTTTGCACCTGATTTCAAGCAAAAATTAAACATAAATAACTAACCAGCTAATTATGAATATAATATACAGAAGTTCAGCTAGCAATAACTGTAAGTAATCAAAGTAAAAGAAGAGAAAAACACCAGTTATGCAGAAGCAAAAAGCCATAGTGAGATGTAGATGTGAAAATTGAAATTTAACTTAAAATTAAGACATTTACTGATTTTGGAGCTAAAAATATATTGTGAGTGATTTCCCTTGTGCTGGGAAACAGACTAAATGAAAAAACAGTGAAAATGCATGCGTGTGTGCATGTGTGACTATTAGTAAACGTTACAATCAAGCAATTTTACCTGTGTATTTGTTAGATTTCATCTCAATTAATGTACGCGATTCCAGGTGTGTGTGTGTGTGTGTGTGTGTGTGCGTGCGTGTGTGTCCATGAATGCATGTGAAAATACAGTTATGCCTGGTGACAGGGAATATGTGTTTGTGTAAAAGCTGGTATAATAAAACCAGCAGGTGCTGGAGTTAAGCATAACCCAACAAGAGGAGCCAGCGACCAAACAGAAGGTCATGTTGATAATCCTGGTGTGCATCGGATCCTGACCGATTTGAACGTGGCTCCGCCCCCCTTAGGTCAGCTGGTGAGGCGCCTCAAGCATCTCCATCAGAAAGGTGTCAATAGGTGTGTCACCAATCAGTTTAAAGAAGAACAAATGCTCCAGGCACTTCAGACCGATGGAGCGCAGTGCTGGGAGTCGAAGGAGGAGCTTTGCAAACCTGGATGATGGAAAAATTGAATCAGAAATTAAAGAAACTGATCTGAAGCTAACAAAAAAATAATGACTACACCTCCTGATTGTATATTATTCTGCATTATACTCTACCTGCCCTGCTGATCGGGGTATTTCTGTTTACAGTAAGATTCAAGGGATGCATAAACCCTCTCTCTGAGAAGCTCCACCTCACTGCAGTTGGACAAACCYTTGGCATCTTTAAACAAAACAAACAAAACATTTACCTTTTCTTCCTGTTTCATTATCAGATTTTTAAATATCCTATGTTCATTTTAAAGTCATGTTTCACAAGATGGCTTTACATGCATTTCAACATTCCAGTCTCCAGTACCTGGGTTAAAAAGAATAATAGCACGAAGACAGCCCAGCTCGGTCTTGTCCATCTGCATGTCTCTCATTTTGCTTACGAGCTCGGTCAAAACCCTGAAGAGATGAGATATGCAGTGGGAAGTTCCATACAGAGAGAATATTACATTTAATTAATTACTGAAGACAAAAAATAGCTTAAAAAGCATATGAAAAATTAAGACAAAAAGTGTACAACATAACTAAGAATGAAAATGAAAGGTAAGAAAAACAAAGGTCATAATCACACAACCTGATAACTTTTTAAAAAGTCTAACTTGTTTTGGTGGCTGAACTGCTGGTTCTGCATACAAGGAGTGAAGACAACAGAACTGACCAAGGCAGAAAAAATATTATTTTGTCCACTTAGTGATTGTGTATTTTCATAGACATAAATACATAGACACAAAAACAAATAAAAATAAATTAGAGATTTTTTTTAAATGGCTGCCAAAAGTTCAAACCAACCATGTCTGAAAAAAAAAAAAAAAGAAAGTTACAGGTTTTAACTGTCTTGCAGATGCTTCTGAGGTGGTAAAAGAAGGTTAATGAGATAGTCATTTTAAACTGCCAAGCCCTTGTAAAGACATATTCCTGATAAAAGGTTTGCTTACAGAAAAGACTTACAACACCAAGGATGACAATGTCTAACAGTTTTAAAGTGTCAATCTTGATTAATTGCAATAAGATTTTTTTAACTCATCAACTACAATGAAATGAACTTTGTATTATTTACCTATCTGCGGCGTACGAAACTGGGCATCTATGGGGACAGACACTGAAATTCCTCTTACTGCCGTTTCAAATGTGTAACGCTGACTACAACTGTCTGAATCAATTTTCTATTCAAGACGCAGCAAATAAAGGACCAAAAAATAAATAAATAAGTAAATAAATAAAAAATAAAAAAGACAACAATAAATGGTTTAAATAAWTGAACTGGGGGGAAACTCTGCAGGGGAGATTTCATAACTCACACCTCTGCAGAGCGTCACTTTAAGAACAGAACAACAAATATTCATGCATCAAAACCTTCAGCATGCAAAGAACCAAATTATAGTTTAAATAGAACTGTGTGCATCCACAAAGTGCAGATCAGTTTGTAAACAAAATTATGATGAATATGGTTTAAAACAAATGGACTTTCTTACAAAGAGGCCAAAATAAATGCAATATTTAGTCTTTAGTTCATTTCTGAAAATTACAGAATTTTTTTAACCCAGTTACAAGTGACATTTAGTTCTCCAAGACAGAAATTTAAAATTGTTCTTCATGTTTCAACCAAGAAGGGACCACGCTTCATGAAGTGTTGGGCAAAAAGATAATCAAATAATTGTGTGCGCCAATAAGTGTTCATGTCAGACTTATGCTTTGAGCGAATAACAAAAAAGAAAAATACTTAAAATACAGTAAAAACAGGCACGAGTAAAACGGGTGTGCCGCTACATCAAGTGTTTTTAATCACATAACATAGCGAATTAATATTTTAGTGAATTTGGTAGAAAGAAGAAACAGTGATTTTGTTCACAGCTAAAATGTGTAATTAAAGCTATAAAATAATTTTGTCAACGCAGGAGGATTTTAATGATAAGGGGGCCACTAAGTTGCAGAAAACTCCACGATCGATTTGGGAAATKAAAAACTGAATGTTGGCACAAAGCAACATCAGTTCTCATAACCTCAAACCTTGTCCTATTTTACATGCACCGCAAACACTAGTTTCACAAATCCAATCAACATATTTTTTTTTGCTTCTTATTCTTTGCAACAAGCACTTTGATGTTGAAGATCCTGCAAAAAACAAAAAAATGAGGTAAAAACAAATGCCTTTAAATCCGTAAATGACCGGGCTGAACTATTTACTGCAATTTATTTGTTTAGGCTTCAACGCTGTAATAAAAAAATTTAAAAGTTAAGTAAAAATTAAAAGCTACACTCAAAAAAGGTTTAAAACCTTATATTTGTTTATTTTAATGTTGGCTCAGAGAGGAGGGGTTTAAGAAAAGTGTTTGTGTAGTGGAGTAATTACCTGTCAAATATGGCCCCAACCTCAGCATTGTTCGCCCTGTGTATTCAATCACAATGTGTTATTACAATGTCATTACACAGGTAGATTGTCATTAACAGTATCCTGACTGCTTACTGAGAACTTCAACTGTACATACAGTTCATGCTTATGAATGATTTTGCAAAAGTAAAACTGTCCTTACTCTTTCCAGATACCTTAGAAACTAATTCTTATTTTGATGTCTGGACTGTTATTTGTTTACAAATGCTGCACTTTCACTAAAACACCAGTATTTTAGATGTTTTCTGGAAGTGTGCAAAAAGATGAAAGGTGTAGTGCACCTAACAAGTAAATGGTTTAAATCAGATAACTTATTGCTTGCATTTTCCTAAATAAAAACACAGCGTATTTTGTTATTAAACAAGTGCTAATTTTAAACTGTCATAAACCCGCTGCAAGAGGAGAGCAGTGCTTCGAGAAAATAATTAGTGAAAAATTAATGAGCAATTTGCCATAAGCCCAGTTAGCTTGATTTAAAAAAAAAAATCAACAGAATTTTTAGGCAAAATCGACCCTTTTAAAATCATACATTTACTGTGTAATTAACAATGAATTAACACGTTGTGATGTGATTGAGATTCAGTAAGAACCAAGGCAAGTAGAAATCTTACACATGTATGATTTAAACTGTACAGTAGAATATAAAATGACATAATGTGCGTATGATCTTAAATGAGTTAGAAAAACAGAGTTTGCATAAATCCTACTGATTGCAGATGATTACCCAACTATTTGTGAAGTTGTAAATGTTTCTATAAAAGCAAAAAATTGCTTTTTGCCACAACAGGAAATGCCCCTAAATTACCATGACAAAGCAAAAAACCTTTTCAAAACACACAAGCATGCTCTGAAACATTCCAGTAGTGGACTGTGCACTTACACATCATGATATAATTGATCAACAATATTCAAATGTTAGTATTTTACACGCTCCAGCCATTATCACAGCATCAAATGCTGTTAAGGGTGCAAACGAATCAAGGTGGGTGTGCATGCATTTATATGGATAAGCATTATTCACCAGCCTCCCTTGCATGCACTAACATATTACAGCCACAACTATAAAAAAGCAAAGTCTTTCAGCCAATACAGAACACAGCAGTTGCAGCCAACCAAAGATGAAGAAATACTACTCTATATTTTTAGCCCAGTCTTTAAACTAATTAAACCTAAATGAGTATAAATTATTGTCTAAAAATACAAGTATAAGCCACCAGAGAATAATTATTTTATGTAGGCTTATTTCTTTAGGTTTAATCAGGTAACATAAAAGGGATTTGGGATTTTATCTTCTTTTCAAGACAAATTTCTTTTAGGCTAACAGATAATTCTATGAAGCAAACACTTATTTTTTTTTGCTCAAAGAAATAAAAAGCCTCTGGTAATACACTTTAATGTGTCAAATCCCCTTAGTAAAACCACATTTTTACACTATGTCTGCTGAATATAGTGAAAAACTAATAAATGGTATACCAGCTATATAGGCATGCATCTGTGAGTTACCTGTCAAAGATGGCTCCAACCCCTGCACTGTGAGCACTGTTTCTGTGGACGTGGAGACCTGTGGCCAGCAAAATCCCGTCTTTCACCGAGATGGAGCGATGGGAGAACGATGCAATCAGGAGCTCATTCCAGCCTGTTGGAAAGTTGGTTTGTCAGTATTTGAACCAACTTTAAATATCTACATGTGCCAAGACTGAGTTGTTATTTATTGTTTAAAATGTTCAAATACAGTACTTCATACAGACATAAATATCTCTGGTCTTCCTAAAACAGTGGCAACCTAAAGTCATTTTATGCAATTTACTTTGCATTCAGTGGAAACAAAACAAGGCTATCAAAACGTCTAGATTCAGTTGAATTTAAGCAGCATTTGCATCTAGTCGATCTGTTTTAAAACTACACGAGCTTGAAGTGCAAGTTCTCTTTATGTTAAACAAGTACATAAGAATCAAATTGTCAGCCAAGGATGGTAGTTTTGACTAAATAATAAGCAACCACCAACTGTTTTGGTGTCAGAAAACAGACCTGCACGCAGCAAGATGACCTGATCATCCAGGGGCAGCTCAGAAAAGTGAGGGATCCTCTTGGCCCACTCTACCAGGGTGAAGAGCTGCTTGTCTGCTGCCTGACAGATGTTGGTGACTGGATCGTTGGGCTGAAATAAACAGAAACAGACTATTAGAGGAAAAACTCACTTTATTATTCATGGCAACAGCTTGTCAGGAACATTAAACTAAATCTGCAGTTGGGTAACAGAAATCTGATATGCTTGTACAGAGTGAACTTATATAAATCAGCATTTGACCTATTTGTTCAAACGGGACGCTACACTAATATTGTAATAATTTAATTTAGATGAACGCAGTTATGGAACAAATTAGAAATACATTTCTATCATGCAGTGAACTCACAGAGCTGCCGCCTGAGCTTCCATCTGCRTGAAGCTCCGTCTTTTGCTCTACGGCCATCTCAGCTTCCAAAATCTTCTCGACTGGCATCTCTTCGTTCACTGCAGTGGTGGACTCGACCTCGCCTTCGCGCTCCTTGTTCCTCTGACGCTCCTCTTGGACAGCTGCAGAATGAGGAATCAGAGAGGGAAGGGAGGAAAGCATAAACAATAAAGGACAAGAAATAAATGGATAAAGAGTAAAACAAGAAGAGAAGAAGCAATGGAGATAGGTAGGTTAGGCAATTGAATGAATGACATTTGAAAGAACAGATAAGAAAGAAAAAGGAAATGAAAGCAATAATGGAGGAGCAGAAGAATGGAATGAGTGCGCCAATAAATAAACAAACCAATCAAATAAAATGAAAAAGAACCAAGAGTGTGTGGACAATATAAAGGAAAAAGCCACAAGAATTATGTTAGAAAAAAGGCAACGAAAACCATGATAAATTATTGTGAAAATAAATAAAAACCAAAGAAACACAAACATATTTCTGCTCAGTTTTACATTAAAGAAATATTTTGTTCTTCATAGCTTCTCTGAGGGTGGGGCRTTTTAATTCATATGGCACATTTAATTGGTTGAGATAAAAATAGTGAAATCACACAAACATCATTAAAATATCATTCCAAAGAATTGTTAGGTACAAAGAACATGCTTTGATTTATATCAGATCTCAAACCCATCTATCTCTTCACCATTTGACAGACGATTGTTGAGATATGCAACTTCAATCTTATCAAATCTACTTCAAGAAAATGGAAATTGGATTAGGTTAGTTATGAGTATCATTCCAAAAACAAACAAGGCTTGATTAGCAGCAAAAAAAAAAAAAAACAAAAAAAAAAACACGTAATGCCATCAAAATATGCTAATTTCAAATCCTCAATTTTCTTTAATTACGGTAAGTAAATATGAATTTTTTAAAGAAAAAAAAAGTTGAGACATCCCCCCCCATGATGTTAAGTGATCTTTGCTGCTGCTCAAGGTATAAATTCTGAGCTTTTAAAACCTTTTGGCATTTTAACTATGTTTGATATATCATATATCACACACAATGCCTTTGATTAACCAAGTGAAGAAGTAACAGAGCCTAACAGTTAATATGTGAAAGAGTCAGCAAGCATCATGGCTCAGTGTTGTGATGACAGATTGACTGTGCAACCAGCCATCTGCAGACTTTAGAATGGGAGCGTCTGACACATATTTCATGCATAAGATCGACATTAACTTTGCTGAGTTAAAACGCCACATCTCCTTTATTTCTGCAATTCTAGCTTCATTTATGACAGCTTATTTTATCAAAGGACGTTGCTGACTTGATTAGAGGCAGCCTCAAGGGCTTGTCTTTGCAGCCATATCGTTAAACTGTTAAATAAAAAGGGGCTTACATAAATGTTGGATTTGTCCCTATTTATCAATTATCAAACAATCTTAAATTTGTCAACACTTTGCAGATCATAGAGAATTCAATACAAACAAAGACATACTGTGAATGTAGGCATCTGTTTAAAAAACAGTGCTTAATATAAAGAAAATATGTGTAGGAAATTCAATCAACATCTACACTTCCTGTACTACAAGCATCAAAGCCTTGTTTAGCCTCTGAACAGATGTGGAACAACTTTGTGGATGGCAGCAGCAATTGTGATCTTACTGTGCAGCTCTCAGAGAGAAGTAAACAATAAATAACGTTTTAAGTATGGGAATGATTAAAGGAAGTGTGTATATTTAGCTGACTTTGCATAACAAAGGTTAAAAACACATGTGGAAGTAATTTATTGCTTGCACTTTTCCACCACTGAGTTCTGGCAAAAAAACACAACGGAAAAATATTTTAAATTAGCTCCATTTATGTGATAGAAAAAGTAATATTTCTTTTTGCTTCGATACAGTCAGACACCCCTCCCTCCCTCTTCTCCTTACATCTGTCGTTCATCTTGGCCACTACAGAAGGAGGGAGGGGGAGAGAGAGAACGAGAGGAAACAAAAAAGGAAGAGAGGGGGCAAGGGGTTAGTGTTTACAAGACTTACCCACCCCCACATCTTTCTCTACTACCCTTTACTCGTTCTTTCCATCCTCCACTGTACACATTTTGACCTCCTTTCACACATGAAATATTTACCACTATTATTAAAGTTACTATTTAGCATTCAGACAAAACTATCAGCTTTATTCTGTGTACATTAAGATTTTCTACATTGTAACATGTGATCTTTACCACTGAATATGCAAAACAAAATAGTCATGAAGTTAGATGTTACCCAAGAGGCCATCAGGTCTATTTAAACTGTCAGATTAACTAGTAATCTGTGAGGAATCAGAGCAGCTCTTAATATCAGTGACAGACCAATCAGCTTCATTTTACAAGGACTAATTTGAGATTACCACTGCAGCTTTTCGTGAACTATTAGACTGTTCTGACTGCTAAGAAAACTAAAAACATCCAAACTCTGTAGGTCATAATTACCTAAATGGATTTCAATAATGAAGCATTATTTCAAATATAACAGGTGAAACTGTTACAGAAATCTGCGCAGGTAATTAAATTATGGTCAGAGATAGAGAGAATTACTGCTTTTACTATCATAAGAGCTTTTACCACAGCCAGAAAGTTTTATATTTAAACRGCTTAAATTATTCTGGTTATTTATTCAGACATAAGAGTCTCTCACATTATATAGCAAATAATTTAGTGGCAAAACTGCATTGTAAACACAAGCTAAAATTTGACAAATTATGCAAAAAAGTTCATGTAATTGGTATAACTAGCAGCTGCACTGAATGTTCTGTTTGGTTTAATTGTAGATAGACACCATGATTAAAAGTGACTGTTTATTTTTAACGCTCATTTGTGTACAAAGCAAATACTGAATTGTAGGTTTCTGAGGAATTCTATCTTAAAGTAACATCAGGACGCGAGAAAGCCCATTGACAATATGATTAATTCTTACACTTTTCAACTCTTAGAGACATGGGAGGAGATAATCCCGGATGTTCTGGCTTAAAATGGGCCCAGACAGGATTTTCAGAAATGTGACTAATACAAAATGCACTGCACATTGCTCRTCAGCTCTATATATTTGGATTCTCTTAATTCATGCTGAAAGTTACAAGAGTGAAAGCAGCAGAATGACATTTTGGCACAACCATTAAAAAAAAAAAAAAAACGATGTGGATACAAAATACTATTAAGTTAGGCAATTCTATTTTAGTTTCAAAGCTGAATCTTGCATTTCATTTAAACATAATCAGGAGGTGTCATCATTCTTATAAAGKGTGGACCTGAGTGTTAATGTTTCACCACTGCCCTTTTGTTTTTTTTCATTCAGTCAACTTTTCAAATGTATATAAAAAATAAACTGACATGAAAAGAAAATTTAAATGTTTATGACATGGATCAGACACAGACAAGGGCTGAAATTATGATTAGCTTCATGAAAGCACCATTTATGACTAAAATTGTTTGAAAACACGTGTTTACTGCATAAATGATGCAAAAAACAAACTTGAATTTAAAAAAATAGTAAAAAAAATCTTTAAAAATGAACACTGTTTAGCTAATGTAAAATTTGCTGATATGCAAAAGTTTGGAGGATACTTTTGKGCAAAAAAGATGAATAAATTGTGCCTTCTTTTACTGTAGAATAGCAAAAGCCTTCGGATCAGGATAGTAGAATCAAGGCAGAAGAAGTAGTAGACAATTTGAATTTGGCGACTCTGCTATTATAGCAGTGGTTATTGTGTTTGTCAGAGTGAAATTGTCAAATCAAAATAAACTGGCTAAATTGACATTCTGAAACTGTTTCTGAGATAAAACAACTTTTACACCAAAACTAGAAATCTGAACAAAAATGTAAAATGTGGGTTATTTATTATTATTTTTTAGTTCTAAAACACAAAAGAACCTAGAAAAAAAATCAATCTGTATTTGGGTAATTTACTTCATCTTTCTCACCTTCTCTCTTCATGCCCATGGCCAGGCACTTCTGATAGCGGCAGTACTGGCAGCGGTTCCTCTGTCTCTTATCCACTATACAGTCTTTATTGTCTCGACAAGTATAGGTTAGGTCCTTTCGCACTGTTCTCTTGAAGAAGCCTTTACATCCCTCACAGCTGTAGACACCATAATGCTTACCTAAAAAATGAAGCATAATTAAAATAACTAAAGACATTAAATAGACAACAAGTACCTAAAAATGTCTAACTATTCTTCATTTAACAGAAGCAAGTGGCTTTTTTACTCACCAGAGGATCTATCTCCGCAGATGGAACAAAGGCGTTTCTGGGAAAGCATCGGTCCTGGGCTGTGAGCCGACAGCTGTTTCAAGCCCAGTGGAGGTTTCACATCATCAGAGCTACTCACTGTATGGAGCCCGGACATGGTCACTGTTGAGTTGATCTGGCAAAACAAAACAAAAAACACAAGATAGGATATTTTTATATGCATTTCAGAAATATCACTTTACTTTAAACAATTTACCTTTAATGCAATCAGTAGGATTTGTATTGCGACCACTAGTCCTTACCTGAGGGCTGCTAATCGGGCCATATCCCACTGACGGGGTGCCAGGTAGGCAGGGTGAGTCCAGTGATGAGCTAATAACGGAAAATGGGGAGCCGATGCTACTGATGGGGCTGTTGACTCCAGCGGTGGTGATGGGCGGCAGGGAGGTCATGGAAGCTGCTGATGGAACCAGTGGGGGTGAGCGTTGGCCCGAAGGTGGGGAAGACACAGACGAACTGTCTGGACTGCGAGAATCTGGAAAGAGACAACCAGAGACACAATGCCCAAATGACACCTGGTCAGTACATGGTGTGTAAAATCTCCTGTTTTTGTGACTTGAAAAACTCAATTTTACAGAGAAACAATAGCCTTGAGATGTGACAATACTGTGATAGTAATTTAATAGAGTATAGGCGTGTGAATAAATAATTTACATAAGTTTAGTTACCTTATATGCTCCACAACACTACAATAGCTTTACTAAAAATCTGTTCATGTAAATGGACAATACGTGTATTTTATAATAAACATGTTTAATGGTGTTATTACAACTATTAATGTTTATATTTGTACAACTTATAAAGCTTTTAGAAGATATGAAAGAGGATAGAAAAAGTGTTTACAGACAACTCTGTTATTGCTTAACTAAACAAATAAAATAATAAAAAATAGATAAATCTAGTGTTTTGCTTACCTCTGCTGTCTCCCATTATGGTAGTTTGTGCACAAGGGCTAGGTGGCAGCGGCAGGACGATGTGCTTTCGTCTTTAGCAGCTCTCTATCAAACTCGAGACCGCGGACTGAGGCCCGGGCCGGAGTTGGTTAGGGAAACCAAAAACGGATCTGGAAATTCCACCACAAAGAAAAAAACAGAACATAAATGCACGACAATGTGTGGCCAACCGATCATGAAAATGTCAAATCAAATCAGGAACCACTCAGTTGTTTTTASGATCGCGCTCGGCTGTATTTAGTTGCTTGTTAAGAGGTTTGAAAGCAAATTTGATACCTTTTGGCATTTTGTGGTGCGACTTTTAACTGTCAAAAAAATTCAGCTGTTGCCAAAACATGCGTTTTCTGGATAATATGTAGTATATCGATTGTGATTTTAACAATAATATTTAACTATCAAATACTGCGCATCGACATAAGATAGACGGAGCTCTGACAGATGGCAACAAGCCTCTACTCCTTTTTAAGCCAGCTAAAGAAGCTAACGTTAGCAACTACAGGGCCCGTCAACTAGCTAAGCTGTTAGCAATGACAAGGCTCGTCATCTAACCAAATTTACTTTAGCTATTACAAGGCTCGTAAATTAACCGAGCTAAAGCAAGCGCTTACTAGGCTAGTGAACTAACCAAGCTAAAGTTAGCATAAGAAAACTAGTGAACTAGCCAAGCTAAAGTTAGCATTACAATAGTCGTAAACTAAGCTAAAGTTAGCATTACTACAATCGTAAACTAACGTTCTCAAACATTAAATGCTACCAAGTACGAGTTGTATTTGTTACGTTTGTACATAAAATAAACCAAACGATACTGCGTTAAAAAAATCCAAATTTTCCTGGTCACCATTTTGATAAATGTATCTGGTTCGAGTTGTCAAAACCAGCTAACTCTGTTTAGCCACCTACCCCAGCTAGCAAACCAGATAGTCGAGTGGATCGGTAGAGCCAAACAGACCAGAGTATAGCTGCCTGTTCAGTTTCTGCCGAAATTCTTCTGTGCATATGCTAGCTGGATTATTTTCTTATATGTTTTCAATAAATAAAAACTAATTACTGACGTTTTAGCGGAGCAGCTTCTTCTCGTGAAAAGAAATGTGGCAACTAGGCCCTGCGTGCTGTTCGTCTCTCCCCCCGCTTTGCTTCGTAGTCAGCCCTCCCTCCCTTTCTCCCTTCCTCCCCAAAGCGAGCGATGAAAACACGATGATGGGGAAGGATTTGGCTTAGTGCTCTCATACTGTTGAACATTGACCCAGAAATCTCTGCAGCTCGGTTTCTGAGCGCAGGAAGAGGGGTTGTGTGGTCGTGTTGTGTCTCACGTGAGGGAGACACATCCAGTGCAGGAGGTCAGGGGGTCAAGACGAGTTCAGCTCTGCACGTCAGTTCTGCAAAGGTTATTAGGGGACACTGCTGGGCTCCTGGGCTTGGGTTTATGTTAAACATTTCTATGCATTTATTAAGGCACCAACAATTCTCAAAATCCAGTTCATCAAACATTTAATATCCATGTTGGGGTGTTTGTGTCGAGGCAGTATAAAAAACATTTTATGCATTTAATACTTTCCACATTGCAACACATTGCACATTTTTAATATTTGAAGGTGCACAAAACGTGGCCTGATTAAAACCTTCTATACTGAGTATTTAAGAACCTAGCAACCAACACATGTAGCATTGCATGGATTTTTTAAAATATTTTACTGTCAGCCTATGACTGTACCATTACAGAAAAGAGGGAGACATTGGTGCAAAATCTGAAATGCAAAGATAAAAGCCTTACTTTTTTGCTTAAGTCACAAAACAAAGAAAGAAGAAAAAAGTGCCCTGCTGTTACTAACTATAAAATCCAGTATAAATATTGGAGTTTGAAAATATAATGGTTGAAAGAAACATATAGTTGCATAATAGTTTTGATTATATATCATTTTCTTACTGTTGATGTGTTATRCCTGCTTCTTGTAATACATGTCTTCAACAGATACAGCTTTTTGAAGTATTTTTATTATAAGCTTTTTCCATTATATAACAGGTTGTTCATTTCTTTTATCCATGYTGAAAATTGGTAGCATCCAAAAGCTTTTTAAAACACTTGATCACCCCCAAGGGGACYGAAATGAAATTACAAAAAATAAAAATAAATCCTAYAATCATTGYCTACYACAACTTCTCTAAATAATAAGTCTTTATTATATTTTTTACATTCTCTTTATTTGGTGCTAATTTATTTTTCCACATAGTAGAGAAAAACCTGTTGATTACTGTTATTTTTTATTTAACAAATGAGAWGTGAGTGATTATAAAAAGCAGTATCTCCTCGATGACATTAGTGCACTCTCTGCTGGCTGTTTTTAATACAGGTTTAAACTCATGTAAACGAATAACACTGAAAATAATAAAYATGCCTCATATTTTTTTCAGGCGTATACCTCCATTGATTTACTCTTTAAAATGCAGCAGAATTTGTGTATTTTCCCCAGAGGGGAAATAAACTAAAAAAAAGGCAAAACAATTTTTTTGACATATTGGTTTTATTACTTGTGCTCTGCAAACATTTGATAACAGTACAGAARTGTTAAACATTTGTTAGATGAAAAGGCCTACAGAGTGTATAAAAAAACAACTGCTGGAAAACATCAAATGAGACTTAACTGGGGAACCGTTTTTTTAAATTAAATTGCATTTAATTCCATCTGCAAGAAAGGAAAGCAGCAACAAATGTGAATTATTTGACTGACAAAGAAGCCAAGACATTTATRCCATTTTATTTGTTTTTATGTTTCAAATTATTTCATTGTGAAAACATTTAAAGTCTGTTTCATAAAGGAATGCAATTTCTACTCTAGTAATCACCAAACAGTTCATTAATACATGCACTGAAACTAAAACAGAAAGAAAATTAGGATTGCATTTTAAACCTGTGTTGAACACTAATCAATGCAAAAGATACCACTATCATAACATTTCAACCTGTGCTGAATGTGCATGTGCAGTGTGAAACATGTGTGTGTCAGCGCTGCATGAGGGATTAGCCCCAGTGTGTGTCCACTAGTGATTAGCCTGGTCAGTGGGCCTGTTGTGCATTCACTCAGGACATTAGCATATTAATGCAGCTTYGCTCTTGATCTCCCTCCTGCTCCCTAAACTCTCCCGCTCTGTCCTTCTCTTGCACTTTCTTTCTCTAGATATATTTCCCAGACTGAGTTGTTGCTTCCTGCAGCTCCAATCTATAAATCTCACCAATTTACGCTCCTCGTGCTGTGAAGCAGCGCACAATCTGGCCACACAAACTTCAAGGTGCCTGGTCTTCTTTTCCCTCCAAAAAAAAAAAAAAAAAAAAAAAAACCTGTCTCTCCCCCTCTCTTTCTGCTCCTCATTCAAATCCTTCACTTGCTCTCATTTTTCCCTTTCTTTCTCCAAGGCTGCCCCCCTGAACTTTGTCAAACACAGGAAAATGCACACTGAAGCAAATTCACAGGGCAAATACAGAGAGGGTGAACACACACATTCACACACAGACTCCCACTCCTCATTCTCTCTGCTTTTCGGTCATTTTCAACCTCTTCAGTACAATTTTAGCAAAACCTGTTCAGGACTCCACATTCATCTCATCAACCTTTTTCCTGCAAACTTTACCCTTGTTTCCAGATTAGGAGAGTTGTAGAAGCCTTTAGACTTTGCACCTGTGTGAAAAAACAAAAACAAAACATGAGCAAATGTTAGAGTTAGTTTTAGTCCTCATTCAAGAGAAACAGCTTTTTCATACTAATATTTTTCAAAGTTATGATTTATATGAGTGAATTGTCTCATATTTAAGTCAACTATTGACTTCCTCTTCATCTTGACAGGTTCAAAAACACATTTTAGACCAAGTTAAAGTTTTTTTAATTATGTCATTTTGTTAAAAACATCAGATGTAAACGTCTTAAACAAGAAAAATGCTGCTGGTTGCCAAAAATGCCTTTAAAAGTTTTTTAACAGCTATAAACACACACTCTTCCTCATTTAAAAGCCTTTCCCTCGTTTGTCTTCCTGTTTCTCACTCATCCACCCTGAGAGCCACAGAGTTTGATCCCATCCACGGTGGTCGCAGATTTTTGGAGGTCAGGGGCGTGATGTCCATCCACAACTCCTGGTTTCACAAAGGCAGACACAAGAATTGCGTTTGGACAATCAACTCCGGACCTCCATCTTCATCTGATGGGTTCTGAAGAGGCAGGTGCATGGCTTGGATGTCTAAAGTTACTGCAAGGCTGCTTGAGTGAATTCAGCTAAAAACATCTGAGACGGGATGCTGTAGATTCATACAAATATCACATCCTCCACTTTTTCAGGTAACGTAAAAAAAGCTGTAAAATGTGTATGAGCAAAAAACAAACAAACAAACAAAAAGGACCTGAAAAGAGAAATAAGCGGGAAAAAGGTCTAAGAGACGAGAGAGGGAAAAAAGCTTTAACTCATGCTCGTATTCTGTGCTGGTGACACCATGATAAACGAAGGGGTCACCACCCGGGGGCTGGCCCGTTCTATAAGAGCCAGAGCTGTGACCTTGTACAAAAGAATAAGTGGGTCCCCCAACGGTCACACGGATCAAAAAGGACAAAGCCTGAGATGATAACTCAGCACAGCAGTGGAGCACCTTATGATGAAACACGTGAGCAACAGTGGTAGTAAATTTCACAGAGTTATGGTGGAGTAACGAGGCACTTGAGAACTAAAAAGTAAAACTGCGACTCGCTCTAATCTGATTTGCTGAATGCAACATTTTTCTTTATGTGATTCGCCCTGTTAGGCGTTCTCTCTTTCTGTGGAGACTCGGTCTTTATCCGAATGATGTGGCCTTTGGTGAGGCCTGGTCTATTCATCTGAACCCCATGTGCTGTGTGCCCACCATTGAGGTGCAGAGTAGCATGGTCACAAAAGATGGCAGCAATTCAGAGAGTTTGCTCCTTAAAGTTTAAGCCTGTGTTCAGAATAAAGTTTGGAGTTAAACAGCAGAGCTTGAAAAAGTCCACCACACAGATGAAAAAGTTCTAAGAAAATATCTCACTTAAATTGTGCAAAATGCAAAAAGTAAGTTCTGAATTATATCAGTAATCTGCAAACATTTGAGACTTCTTTTGTTAATGCATTGAACAAACCCATGAGGTCTAATGAATAAGTATCTTTTTCAGAAATAGTTGCATCTCAGAGAAGTTCACCTGTTTGAAAAATACAGTGGTATTAMGTAAATCAGATATTTTGAGTTTTATTTTCCTTCACCATAAGATGCTGAGGGCTTGCTGGAATAAACAGAGGCCTGAAAACCGAAACTTTTCTGCTTTCCAGTTGTCTACAGACACCAAAACCACACCGAGCTGCAGAACCTAATCAGTTTGAAAGTGACAAAAAAGAGATGTATTGCCTCCCAAAAAGGCTAGTAATGCCAGTTATTAAGAGCCTTTGGGGCCTAAAATCTAGACCAAGAATTTCTGCAAAAAGCCCCAAATAAAGTCCCTCCCAATCACAGATCATTCATCCTTACATGAGCGACAGGCGTCCTCGCCTCTCATCCAGCCTCCCTCCTTTCTTGGTCGAATTTTAGCTGCATCGCTGTCGCCGTCTGACCGCACTTGTCCCACTTCTCCATCTTTCACTCTTTCTGCCTTTGCCTCTTCTGATCCTGCATCCTTCTCCCTCTCCTTCTTCAACCCCTTTTTGTTGGGCCCACCCCTCTGCCTTTACATTTCCTCTCAGTTTCCCCGCCCTCCCTCTCTCCCTTCTTTCACATATTGCTCGTCTCTCGCTCTCTCCCCATCCTCATTTCATGCAGCGCTGGGGTTACCTAAGAGACTGGGCCTCAATGGAGAAAATCTCCTTTGGTACAATGAACTGGGCGAGAGGCAGAGGGGAGGGGGAGAAATGGGGGGGGGGGTGCAGGGTAAAATCAGGGGGTGCTGGACACAGGAAGGGAGGTGGGGTGAAAGTAAAGGAAAAGATAGTGTGATGCAGATGCAGGGATGGAAGGGGGATAGGAAAAATTGAATAAGTGGCTTCGCTTGTGTGATTTTGCCTCAGTGGTCAGTCTTTTGATGGTTGCTTACGGTGCCCCCCTCCCCCTCGAACCCATCAGTTGGACCGGTTGGTTTTACTAATTAAGCAAAAACCTATTTGAATTAAAAAAAGA